AAATTCAAATGATACCATGATAGGTAATAAAATGTTCCCCACCTGTGGGGCAAGTTGCAAAAGCCACTTTGCCTTTGTGGGAGAGCACATATGGTGGAGGTTGAAACCCCACAAAATTACTTGTAATTTCTCCATCCCCAACCCCCAAAGTTACCAAAGTTCAGAAAAATAATAGGTAATAAAACATCCTTTTGGCATGGGATTCAACAATGTAAGGGTCTGAAGATTCAATAGGTCCAAAGGACAACACCAGTGAAATACTTTAACTAGTCCATGCTATCATACAACAAAATCTCTTGCACAGATACATGTAGGAGATATATGTACTATGTGCTATATCTACCACTCCACACAGGAACTAAATTTTGCAACTACAATTCGATTCACCAAAGCATGATTCATAGGCCACATATGTTACTCCTATAAAATTCCTCTTTTTGCTCCATAACCAATTGTTATATCAAATTTATGCAGCTAGAATTACTTGGCGTTATATAAAGTTAGGGTTTATTGCTGAACATTTGCCTCTGCCTATTTATTATAATATATAATTGCTTGGCGTGATAATTAATCATCTTGAACAAAATGAATCTCAAGCAGCTCTTCATTATGAAATGGTTGTAAATTACCAGGCCACCACAAATATAGGGTTTCTCACACAGTCACACAAAATTAAAAACTTCACCATTTAAAATGACTATTCTCCATTAACCAAAAAATTCAGCAATCAAATGAAAGCAATAACTAAGTCAGAAAAAAAAAAAAGGGATAGAAAGCAAGAACGTACTAATTCCAGCACTTCCTGCGGATGAAGGAGTCCCTGAAGCAGCAGAATTGCCCTCAAGCGCAGTGGCACCACCAAACAGAATCAACCTAGGTCCAATGAAACCCGTCGTGCCTTCCTCTCCAACAGCTGCCACAGCCGTTAGCGTATGGCCACACCTCGGGCCCGGACCGTCCTCCTTCTTCTCTATTATGGCATTAACCACAGAATACGTAGGCGCGCATCTCGGCCCCACCACCTGCGTCTGCTGCTGCTGCTGCACCTGCACGGCCGCAGCCTGCTGCTGAGCCGGAGGATGCGGTGCAGGACCTGGAGATCCAGCAGTCCCAGCAGGCGACGGCTGACTGTCTAGCTGCTGATGCTCCCTCTCCATCGGCGCAGGAGATTGCGACGCACCACCGTGGCTCTGATCGTGATCGTTCTCTGTCACCATCCCCGAATCCACATCCATTGCCTTACCCTCCAAATTGTAGCCCTAACTTCAAGATCGGACCTATAATCGAAACAAATTCACATATCCGATAAACATTTCGAATCCACTTCCAGGAATTCAAAATTCAAAAAGAATCCCCCTCTTTCTCCCTCCTATTGGAGAATTGAAAACCCTAGGTCAGATCGTTTAGTTACAAACCGTCGAGAAAATCAGAGAGATTTTCCAGGAAAATCTTTTACGGAGAGAGAAAGGTTTCCTTTTTAGGTTTTTTTTTTTTTTTTTTTCCTCTTCTCTCTTCGTTTCGAGCTCCTTTTTTCTCTCTCTCTATAAACCTCGAGGCGGTGGAGCAACTTAGAAAAGGAAAAACGCGACGGAGGAGAACATCTCAAACACTAAACCAACAGCCAACAAAACTACAACATCAATCTCATTCTCTCTCTCAAAAAATCAAAAATAAAATTAATTAATTAATTAATTATATCTCTCAATTTATAGTGCAATATACATGTAGACTAATCATAGGAAAAGATAAAAAATTGAAATTATTAATGTAATTATATATTATGTCATTAAATTAATTAATATATTTATTATGAATTTTTAAATAAATAAAAAAATTAAATAAGACTTTTGAATGCAAGTGGTTGGTCCCAAACTTAAAACATTTGGCGTTAGTTTGTCGGGATTTCAAACCATCATTAATGTCTTGAAAGGTT